TGGAAGAGGGAGGATGGACAGGTAAGATAGGGACAGATGGAAGAGGGAGGAGAAGGAGGATGGACAGTAAGATAGGGACAGATGAAGAAAGAACGGAGATGGACAGATGAGGGGACAGTGGAAGATGGAAGAGGATGGACAAGATGGGATGGAAGAGGGAGGCAGAAGGAGGATGGACAGGTAAGGACAGATGGAAGGAGATGGGAGAGGGACAGATGGGATGGAGGAAAGAGTGAGATGAGGGACAGATGGAAGAGGGAGGAGAAGGAGGATGGACAGGTAAGATAGGACAGATGGAAGAGGGAGGAGAAGGAGGATGGACAGATGAGAAGGACAGATGGAAGAGGGAGGAGAAGGAGATGGACACTGGTAGGAGATGGGACAGAGTGAAGATAGGACAGAAGAGGGAGGAGGAAGGACAGATGGGGACAGGTGAGAGACAGAAGGGAAGAGGGAGGAGAAGGGAGATGGACAGGTAAGATAGGACAGATGGAAGAGGGAAGGAGAAGAGAGGACAGGTGAGATGGGACAGATGGAAGAGGGAGGAGAGGAGGATGGACAGATGAGATAGGACAGATGGGAGGGAGGAGAAGGAGACGGACAGGTGAGATGGACAGGGAAGAGGGGGAGAAGGAGAGGGGACAGATGGAAAGGAGAGATGGACAGGTGAGATAGGACAGATGGAAGAGGGAGGAAGGAGGACGGACAGGTAAGATAGGACAGATGGAAAGAGGGAGGAGAAGGAGGATGGACAGGTAAGATAGGACAGATGAGAAGGAGTGGAGGGATAGGGGATGGGATGGAAGGAGATGGGTGAGATAGGACAGATGGAAGAGGGAGGAGAAGGACAGATGGACAGGATGGAAGAGATAGGACAGATGGAAGAGGGAGGAGAAGGAGAATGGACAGGTAAGATAGGACAGATGGAAGACGGAGGAGAACGGAGGAGATGAGATGAGATAGGACAGATGGAAGAGGGAGGAGAAGGAGGACGGACAGGTAAGATAGGACAGATGGAAGAGGGAGGAGAAGGAGGATGGAGAGACGATGGAAGAGGAGGAGAGGATGGACAGGTGAGATAGGACAGATGGAGGGAGGGACAGGTAAGATAGGACAGGATGGAAGAGGAGGAGAAGGAGGGACAGAAGAAGATAGGACAGATGGAAGAGGGAGGAGAAGGAGGGATGGACAGGTAAGGAGGACAGATGGAGGAGGGAGGAGGGAGGAGGATGGACAGGAGATAGGACAGATGGAAGATAGGAGAGGAGATGGACAGATGGATAGGACAGATGGAAGAGGGAGGAGAAGGAGGATGGACAGGTAAGATAGGACAGATGGAAGGGGAGGAGAAGGGAGATGGACAGGGAAGATAGGACAGATGGAGGGAGGATGGAAGGGAGATGGACAGGAAGAGGGAGGAGGAGATGGAAGAGGAAGGAGAAGGAGGATGGACAGGTAAGATAGGACAGGAGAAGACAGAGTAAGATAGGAAGAGGAAGAGGGTGGACGGAGATGGACAGTAAGAGAGGACAGATGGAAGAGGGAGGAGAAGGAGGATGGACAGTAAGATAGGACAGATGGAAGAGGGAGGAGAAGGAGGATGGACAGGTAAAGTCAGAGGAGAGGGAGGAGAAGGGACAGATGGAAGAGAAGAAGAGAGGAGAGATGGACAGAGGAGAGAGGAGAGATAGGAGATGGAAGAGGGAGGAGAAGGAGAGATGGACAGGTAAGATAGGACAGATGGAAGAGGGAGGAGAAGGGAGGATGGACAGGTAAGATAGGACAGATGGAAGAGGAGGAGGAGAGAGGAGAGATGGACAGGTAAGATAGGACAGATGGAAGAGGGAGGAGGGAGGATGGAAGGAGATAGGACAGATGGGGGAGGAGAAGGAAGGACAGGTAAGATGGGACAGAAGGAGATGGACAGGGAGATAGGACAGATGGAAGAGGGAGGAGAAGGAGGATGGACAGTAAGATAGGGGGAAGAGGAGGAGAAGAGGATGGACAGTAAGAAGGGACAGAGGGAAGAAGGAGAAGGACAGATGGAAGGTAAATAGGACAGATGGAAGAGGGAGGAGAAGGAGGAGATGGATAGGACAGATGGAAGAGGGAGGAGAAGGAGGATGGACAGGTAAGATAGGAAGATGGAAGAGGGAGGAGAACGGAGATGGACAGGTAAGGTAGGACAGATGGAAGAGGGAGAGAAGGAGATGGAGATAGGACAGATGGAGAGGGAAGGAGATAGGAGATGGGAAGAGGAGAGGAGGATGGAGGTAAGATGGACAGACAGTGGAAGATAGGACAGATAAGATAGGAGAGAGGGAGGAGAAGGAGGAAACAGGAGGGAGGAGATAGGACAGATAGGAAGATGGGAAGAGGGAGGAGAAGGAGATGGACAGGAGATAGGACAGATGGAAGAGGGAGGAGAAGGAGGACGGACAGGTAAGATAGGGACAGATGGAAGAGGGAGGAGAAAGGAGAAGACGGACAGGTGAGATAGGACAGATGGAAGAGGGAGGAGAAGGAGGAGATGGACAGGTAAGATAGGACAGATGGAAGAGGGGAGGAGAAGGAGGATGGACAGGTAAGATAGGACAGATGGAATGGAGGGAGGAGAAGGAGGATGGACAGGTAAGATAGGACAGATGGAAGAGGGAGGAGAAGGAGATGGACAGGTAAGATAGGACAGATGGAAGAGGGGAGGAGAAGGAGATGGACAGGTAAGATAGGACAGATGGAAGAGGGAGGAGAACGGAGATGGACAGATGTAAGATAGGACAGATGGAAGAGGGAGGAGAAGGAGGATGGACAGGTAAGATAGGACAGATGGAAGATGGAAGGAGACGGAGGAGAAGAGGACGGATGGAAGAGGGGAAGGAAGGAGATGGACAGGACAGATAGGACAGATGGAAGAGGGAGGAGAAGGAGGATGGACAGGTGAGATAGGACAGATGGAAGAGGGAGGAGAAGGAGGATGGACAGGTAAGATAGGACATGGAAGGAGGAAGAGGAGGAGAGGAGGAGGAGACGGGATGGACAGATGAGATAGGACAGATGGAAGAGGGAGGAGAAGGAGGACGGACAGGTGAGATAGGACAGATGGAAGAGGGAGGAGAAGGAGATGGACAGGTGAGATAGGACAGATGAGGAGAAGGACAGAAGAAGAGGGAGGAGAAGGAGGAGAGGGACAGGTGAGATAGGACAGATGGAAGAGGGAGGGAGAAGGTGGACGGACAGGTGAGATAGGACAGATGGAAGAGGGAGGAGAAGGAGGACGGACAGATGAGATAGGACAGATGGAAGAGGGAGGAGAAGGAGGACAGACAGGTGAGATAGGACAGGCAGAAGAGGGGACCCGCTTACAATCAGCAACTACAATCCATTCGATAGGCGGGGCAGATGGGGGTAGAGACATTGTGTGTTATGTGAATATGAAGGGCATTAAAGAGACAAAATATAAAATATATGTAAACAGAAAACATAAAGCTGAGGCAGATATCAGGAAAAGGTCCTGGACTGCCGTATCTCTCTCTTGAACATTCCTTGGCAGTCATGCTGATCCTGTGGACTTGATTCTTCTCTAGTATGTGAGATGTTTCTTCAGCAATGCCGGGGGCCCCCTGCTCCTCACACAACATATCAATTGTCCATAATGGGGTACTGACGCAGGTATGTGACTTCAGGCAGGCAGCTGGTGACACATCAGAAATCACTGAAAACTGGTGACAATGACATTTGTTGAAGATGGGCCTAAGAGCTCCACCAGCTCCTCCTAACCCAACGTACCAAGTTCATTCAAATACGATGAGTGCAATTATCACTGGAAATGCTTAGGTTAGATGTGGGGCTTGGATTATGGCTTGAATCGGGATTCAGATTACAGCTAGGGTTACGGTTTGGGTTCAGATTAAGGTTAGAATAAAGGTTCAGATTAGTATTAGGGTCAGGATTGGGGTTAGGATTAAGGTTCAGGTAAGAGTTATGATTAAGGTTCAGATTAGCGTGTTAATTAGGGTTTGGATGAGGGTTAGAATTCTAACAAGAATTAGGATCAATAGTAGGATTAGGTTTTAGGATTCAGATTAGGATTAGAGTTAGATTTGAGTTAGGGTTAGTTTTGAAATTGGGTTAAGGTTCGGGTTAGGGTTCAGATTAGGATTAGGGTATGGGTTCGAATTAGGGTTAGGATTAAGGTTAGGGTTCACATTAGGATTAGGGTTTCAATTAGGATTAGTGTCAGGATTAGGTTAGGGTTCGGATGAGGGTTAGAGTTCAGATTAGGATTAGGTTTTGAATTAGGAATAGGGGGTTTGGGTTAGAATTAGGATTGGGGTTAGGATGAAGGTCAGGGTTCAGATTAGGATTAGGGTTAGATTTGGGTTCGAATTAGGATTAGAGTTAGAGTTCAGATTAGGGTTAGGTTTTGAATTAGGATTAGGGTTAGAGTTCAGATTAGGGTTAGGTTTTGAATTAGGATTAGAGTTAGAGTTCAGATTAGGGTTAGGTTTTGAATTAGGATTAGAGTTAGAGTTCAGATTAGGGTTAGGTTTTGAATTAGGATTAGGGTTAGAGTTCAGATTAGGGTTAGGTTTTGAATTAGGATTAGGGTTAGAGTTCAGATTAGGGTTAGGTTTTGAATTAGGATTAGAGTTAGAGTTCAGATTAGGGTTAGGTTTTGAATTAGGATTAGGGTTTTGGTTCCCATTAGGATTAGATTTGAGATTGAATTTGGATTAGGGTTGGAGTTCAGATTAGAATTACAGTTTTTAATTAGGGTTAGGGTTCAAATTCGGATTGGAGTTAGAGATTGCCTAGTCTGCCCAGTCTGTTGGATTAGATTAATAATGGCGACGTTGATGAAATATGTAATCATTATTTCTCGTCTCGCAGACCGCGGAGAATTAGAAGTCTGAAAATGTACACCTTGATGGGGCGGCGGTCTGCTCTGTGCAGTCTCTGGATTGGTTCTGCTCATAGTTGCCACAGCGACTGACTTTTGGATGCAGTATCGGTACTCGGGGAGTCTGAGTAACCAGGGCCTGTGGAGGTTCTGTGTGGCCGGGAAATGCCACGCTCATACCATCACTGTCGGTAAGTTCCACCATCCTATCATAGAGATATAACCAGATGTGGGCTCACTGGGGGGCCACAATGCAATGATTGGCTGGAGCCACATGTCAGATTTGTGTGGCCACCATGTTACTGAGGCTAGCAGAGGCATTAAATGTCTACAAATCGCTTGCTGATCTCCCCTCCCCCAGCATTTGTCTCAGATTATAATGGCCTGTAAATCCGTCCAGCTTTGCAGAACTTTGCCAATTCTGTACATCTGAGCTACACACCTCCATTCACTGAAATGGAACCCCACAGCCAACCCGGCCAGCAAAGACCCTACATGAGCAGAGATACAAGTATAAACTATCACCAAACTGCTGGGGGAGACAACCTGTCCTTTAATGTGTGCAGGGCTCGGGCTCTGTGTCATACAGTATAGTTCTGATTAGGATTTTGGTGTAGGGTCAATGTTCCGGAGGAAGGGTCAGGATAAGGATTATAGAGAAAAGCCTGGTTAGGATATTTTGGTGTAGGGTCAATGTTCCGGAGGAAGGGTCAGGATAAGGATTATGGAGAAGAGCCTGGTTAGGATATTGGGTCTAGGTCAATGTTCCGGAGGAAGGATCAGGATAAGGATTACATAGAAGAGCCTGGTTAGGATTTTGGTGTAGGGTCAATGTTCCGGAGGAAGGATCAGGATAAGGAATACATAGAAGAGCCTGGTTAGGATATTTTGGTGCAGGGTCAATGTTCCAGAGGAAGGGTCAGGATAAGGAATACATAGAAGAGCCTGGTTAGGATATTTTGGTGTAGGGTCAATGTTCCGGAGGAAGAGCCAGGATAAGGATTATAGAGAAGAGCCTGGTTAGGATATTTTGGTGTAGGGTCAATGTTTCGGAGGAAGGATCAGGATAAGGATTACATAGAAGAGCCTGGTTAGGATATTTTGGTCTAGGTCAATGTTCCGGAGGAAAGGTCAGGATAAGGATTACATAGAAGAGCCTGGTTAGGATTTTGGTGTAGGGTCAATGTTCCGGAGGAAGAGCCAGGATAAGGATTATAGAGAAGAGCCTGGTTAGGATATTTTGGTGTAGGGTCAATGTTCCGGAGGAAGAGCCAGGATAAGGATTATAGAGAAGAGCCTGGTTAGGATATTTTGGTCTAGGTCAATGTTCCGGAGGAAAGGTCAGGATAAGGATTACATAGAAGAGCCTGGTTAGGATTTTGGTGTAGGGTCAATGTTCCGGACTTACTCTCTACATGTTAATTTTCTCTCCATTTGGTTGTATTCAGCCTTCTGGGATGCCACCCGTGCATTCATGCTGCTGTCTATTCTGTCCAGTTTTGCTGGAATAATCCTGGGCCTTACAGCTTTCTCCAGTGGGGCCAAATCTGCTAGAACCCGCTCTGCAGGAGTCACATTACTGGTTGCAGGTAAGTGTTACCGAATGACCTGGCTATCAATAAGTGGCTACCATCACACAGAAGTTATGTCTGAATTTGTGCCATATCTTACTATTGTACAGGATTTCTATATCACCAGCACTTTACAATATAAAGATTGACAGGAGAGGGTTGGGTTGGCCCTACTCACAAGAGCTTACAATTTATATTGGCATGAAGATTAGGGTTTCCAGCTCATCCCTTTATACCCCGAACACATTAATTCCACAGGTTCTGAGGGGGATGTAATACAGATAAGGTACTGAGTTTACCTACCACTTTGATCAGCCACAGAACCTGTGGAATTTATGTGTTGGGGGTATAAAGGGATGAAGTGGTGACCCCAATGAAGACTCTTTTCTTCTTCTATTTATTCATCCATCAAACTGCAATGAACAGTATTCTATCTATAAGAGTGTTCATGAACTGGAGGAAACACATGACTTCTCTGACACAGCAACTCTTCGGCCCTCTGCCACTGCTGCAATGCTCCCAACATGGCCCTCTTACTTATTTTTTAATTCCTAGTGTCCAGCCTGTGGCACGAGGGCCAAATGCGGCCCTTTGATGTTGGAAGTGATGTCCTTGGGCCCCAGCAGTCTGTAGAGGGAGTATTAATCTGTCTAATGTTTTCATGCAACATGTCCGTAGTCTCTGAGTGTCTCCTATAGCATGACTTCAGTCTCCAGCCACTCCTGAAGAACAACATCTGACCACTTCCTCTAGCAAGCCTTCAGTCTCTGACAGTTTCGTTACCATTACATGTGGGGGGGGGGGGGGTTACATTTGAGGCTCCCTTTACCTTGCAAGTTGAAAAGGACCAATTTAAATGGTTTTGACATCCAAGGTGTCCTCAGATATTCCCATCTGGTATCTGATACACATCCACTAGGTGTCAGCAGACTGTAAGTAGTACAATGTAGACAGTTTATAGTAGGGTTTATATAAGGGTGAATGAGCTTGTGTTGGGGAATTGTGAACATGGCTTCAGTCAGGTCTGATGGTCATCATCCATCAACTCTACCACCTTTACCTGGAAAAAGAAATATTGGCATTAAGTTCCCTTTTGTTGAAAATTCTGTTCTCAGCCAGGCAAGTAAAATATAAAGAGTATCCATTGGAAGAATTCTTTAAAACCCTTTGATTCAGCGCATTGCAGGAATTGGAGGACAAGCATCTTCAGATGCTGGGAAAGTAAAGCTGGTTGTGGAGGCTTTGCCTTGTCAGACACAGAAGTCCAGGCTACCAGACTTCTAAATGAGGCAGTGTGCATCCTATTGGCTGGATTTAGCAGCCGACACCAGAGGTTGAAGTCATGGCCAGAGTTAGGATTGCAAAAAAATGGGAACCAAAGTTTCCTTCACGGTCCAACCTGCGGACCTTCATGACTGCCTTGTTAGAGATATTGAGCTGTGAAATGGGGTCTCATAGTGAGATGGGATGTGGGGTGGACAGCCCTGGAAGGAGCGTGGACTTTTCAGACCTTCTTTATCGATTGTTGTTTGAGGCTAAATAAAGAGAGAAGTGAAGTATAATTTACAAAATGTGAGCAAAAGTTACCTCTGTCAAACAACGGGCAGCAAAATTTCAGGATCTGCCTACAACCGGTCCAAACTGTTTGTGGAGAGCCCACGTGTCTTTCTCAATGTTGGGACAAGTGGAGAGGCTTTTCTTTCTAGAGACTGTGCTGTACTGAAGGGATTGCTGTGTTGCATCTGTTTGCAAATGAAGTTGACATTTTTGAAACCCGGCAGGAACTAGTTAAGATTTATATGATAACACATCTAATGGCAGACTCAGGGCTTTGGGCCATAGAATAATATTCCTAGAAAAAGTGGGGGGATGACTAACGGCAAAGTGACCACACTGAATGGCTATCAAAGTCTTATTAATTAGGGTGCACTAAATGAAGAAACATTGATTGAAAGATCTGCCTACCAGCAACTCAAAAAGAGAATTAGAAATGGAGATGTTTGCAAGAGATTGCAATGACTGCTGACTTTTCTAAGCTCAAAGCTTTGCAAAATAAACGGTCTACATCAGTTAATGCAGTCTTCAATCCCGCATACATTGAGAGGGTACCAAGGACAGAAAATCATGGGAAATATGTGTCCTATGGTAACTCCTCCAAATGTGGCAGAACATGAGAGGGAACCAAGGACAGAAAATCATGGTGTCCTAAGGGAACCCCTCTAAATGTTTCAGAGCTTAAGTGGGAGTCAAGGGCAGGAAATCATTGTGTCTTATGAGAACCCCTCTAAATGTGGCAGTACGTGAGAGGGAACCAAGGACAGAAAATCATGGTGTCCTAAGGGAACCCCTCTAAATGTGGCAGAACATGAGAGGGAACCAAGGGCAGGAAATCATGGTGTCCTAAGGGAAACCCTCTAAATGTGGCAGAACATGAGAGGGAACCAAGGGCAGGAAATCATGGTGTCCTAAGGGAAACCCTCTAAATGTGGCAGAACATGAGAGGGAACCAAGGGCAGGAAATCATGGTGTCCTAAGGGAACCCCTCTAAATGTGGCAGCACATAGAGGGAACCAAGGGCAGGAAATCATGGTGTCCTAAGGGAACCCCTCTAAATGTGGCAGCACATGAGAGGGAACCAAGGGCAGGAAATCATGGTGTCCTAAGGGAACCCCTCTAAATGTGGCAGAACATGAGAGGGAACCAAGGGCAGGATATCATGGTGTCCTAAGGGAACCCCTCTTAATGTTGCAGGACTTAAGTGGGAGCCAAGGGCAAGAAATCATTGTGTCTTATGAGAACCCCTCTAAAATGTGGCAGTACGTGAGAGGGAACTAAGGACAGAAAATCATGGGAACTATGTGTCCTAAGGGAACCCCTCTAAATGTGGCAGAACATGAGAGGGAACCAAGGGCAGGATATCATGGTGTCCTAAGGGAACCCCTCTTAATGTTGCAGGACTTAAGTGGGAGCCAAGGGCAGGAAATCATTGTGTCTTATGAGAACCCCTCTAAAATGTGGCAGTACGTGAGAGGGAACCAAGGACAGAAAATCATGGTGTCCTATGGGAACCCCTCTTATTGTAGCATCGTGAGTCATAGCTGATTGTAGCACTGGATAAAAGTGTTGTCTGTGTGGACAGAGGAGCCATTTTGAAGTTGTTTGTCAAAGTCAAGTCTATGACAATTCCACACCACTTACCAAATAACAATGTTTAAGGAAATTATACGTCAGCAGATACGAGAACTATGCCCGATTCTGATTTTGTTTGGCCCATTTGAGGAACTCTGCCTATTAGGATTGTAACCCAGATGTCCCAGTATTGGCTGACTCTGGAGATATGGGTAATGGCATGGAGTCTAGTGATGCAACACCAACAAGCCAATTTACACATTTAGTTCTCTGCAGTTTAAAGGACAGTTGAACACATTTCTTCAAACATAAACCCCACGAATCTCCCATGTGAACTGAACTCTTTGTTTTAATGGGAAAGGAACCTCTTAGTTTGACTACAATATAGAAACAGACAAGCTTGGAATTGGCCTGATATCCGGGTCTGCGGAGATATGAAAAGTGATGAGCACAAGCCATCCAATTCTCACAGTTGAGGATATTTTGCATGAGATGGATGGGCAATGGTTTTTAGCATACTGAACTTAAAAAGGGGTTATCCTTAGACAGCTAACCCTGGTTGGTAGAGTCATCACTACATTTGGCAACGTTAACCCTAAGGTCTCTTCCACTGATATGTAACCTCTGCCGAGGAGATTTATCATGATCTGATTCAACAAGTACAGAGAGGTTGTAAGGCCAATATTTGAGGCCATATTATTTTATGAGGGCTAAGCATCAATGCATTGTACACACCAAGCAATGGTCACAGGAAAAGGTCTGGTGGCCAGGAATTGATAAGGTGGTTTGTTCACCAGATGTCAAGCCTGTCCACATCTGATCACCAAACCAAAATCGGTTACATAAACTCTTTGCCCTCAGATCCATGAGAGGAATTGGCTATTGATGCGATATATTTCCGGAACTCTGGCTTTAACAGGTTGTGAATCTTAATTGACATTGGCAGGAGGCATTCCATGACGGCAATTTCATCAACTTAAAGAGGAACTTCACTCTGTCACTCAACATTGACTGTTTCAAAGCCTTATGCTGTAAGCATTAGTAAATAGATAGGAAGGGAAACTAGATGTACTTGTTTTTGCCTTTTTAACATTTCTTCAGTTACTTCCTGGTTTCCATGCCTAGGCAAATGATGTCATACATCCTAGGAGTCTTCAGGAGGGGAAGAGGGTGGGTGGAGATTTCTCAGCTAAGAGCACCCTCCTGCCTGCATGCCTGACCTAAGAGCAGATTGATTACAAGGAAGTAAATGCTACACTAATAATCTGCCCTTACTCAAGATGGCCATGGCCAGAAATGCTAGGTGGGTGTTTCCCAGCAAAATAAAGCATGGAGACATGGATGGATGAATGGATGGATGGAGACATGGATGGAGGGGGAGTATTCTTTGAATTTTAAAAATGAATTACGTAAATAGCATTTTTGGTTGGTGGTGCTCAGATGCAGTGCAGTTCCATTTTATGTTTTAGAGTGGCTTCTCATGGACTTCCTAAACACATTGTAAGTGGCAATGGATCCCGGTTTCTTTGCATCATTATACTACAACATTCTGTGAAGAAGAAGTAGAACTTCTCAGAACACATATTTGTTGAAATTTATTTGAGTTGAATATTTGGAAGACAACATTTAGAAAAAGAAATGTTGGTGACCACTCCTCATGCCATAATGGAGGTAATGCATGCAGAACGTCTTTGTGGTCACAAGTTCAGGACAAAGTCACTCCACATTGCATCCCACCCTATAAGGGTACTGGACATTTCTGAGGTCAGAACCTTTCTGAGGTCAGAACCGTTCTGAGGTCAGAACCTTTCTGAGGTCAGGACATTTCAGAGGTCAGGACATTTCAGAGGACAGAACTGTTCTGAGGTCAGAACCTTTCTGAGGTCAGG